ATATATATATATATATATAAAATATATATATAAATATATATAATATATATATAAATATATATAAATAATATATATATAAATATATATATTTATACATAAAAATACATAAATTTAAATAAATTGCTTAACTTGTCCAATGATGTTAGAAATATCAGTCATTATTATTAATATTGATACTGTAAATGATATGATAGAAAATCAACTGATGAAATAGTTGAATGCAACAGGATTTAAACAGATGGTGGAATTAGTATCTTAATATGATATTAAGAATAAGCAATAAGATTGTTCAAGAAAGATTAGGAGTACAGGAAGAGTTAATCGTATCTTTTAGTTGATTTTTCTCTTTTCTTTTCATGTTCAATCTTTTTCGATAGGATTTTTTCATTTCATTTTTCGTGTAAAAAAATAAAAAATGGAAAATTAAATATTCGATTTTTGTCCAAAGTTACAAATTTCTAACAAAAAATATAATAAAAAGCTGTTGAATGTGCCATATATCATACTTTACATCTATCATTACTATGAAAGAGTTGCGCAAGTAATGTTATTACTTACGTGAAGTTGTCACCCAAGTAATCATACCATTTATGTGGTTTGGCATTTGCATTAGACATAAATAAAATCCAGGATAATAATGATCCAAGTTATGACAGTAAGTTGTAAGTAAACTATCACAGTCATTTTGTTTTTGCATTTCTGAATCTAATAATGAGATAGTATTATTTTACTATCATTTCAGTACCATTAAGTATTTGTAAATTATCATTTTACCGAAATGCAAGTAATTTAAACCAGAACAAATCAATACTTAGGGCATAATTAAAATTAATAGCAATGAAATGCTGAATGTAACACCTTTTCTTCATTGTCTCAATCAAGATAATAACTTAGTGGACCACACGAGTAACAACCGCAATAGTAAATTGATTAGTCTCTTACTGATAAGCTATTTTATACACTTTCATCTGTTACAAATAATTTGCATTCCAAAGTATTATTCTCCCACAAAAGCAAAATTTAATTAAAGAAATATTATTCTCTCACAAAAGCAAAATTTAATTAAAGAATTTAATTATTCAAAATAATTTATTGCAATTATCGGGAAAAGTCTGAATAATTTATTGTGGTTGATTAATTTCACAAAAGTTTTGTTTGTTAGTGGAAAAAGAAATTGATTAACATGGCTAATAAGCATTTCAAGAAGTGGTCGAAGTTAAGAATGTGAATGACATTAAATAACTCCCAATAATAATGGCTAGAATTTCATCGGATAATTAATGAACTAATCAACCGAAAAGTGCTCAAATTTATGAAATATATCTCTCAACATGAGTATGTTGACAGCCAAAATGTGACATTCATTGACGACTTCTGAAACTTGGACACTTCTTATGAATCCTTTTCAGTTATTGTACTTCACTCTTACATTATTTTTGGAACAAAAATGAACACAGCTTTTGCATCCCCTGTATTCGTATTTTACCAGATTCATAAATGCTCCAATTCTTGAACTTACAACTGTGTCACAATCGATACAAGACCGTCTTTTCGACATTTGAAGAACAACAGAATTGCCACGAGGGTACGAGTTATAAGCCTTAATCTTATCCAAGCAATACAAGGCCTCAATTCCTGATATAATCCAAAGCCATACAACGATGTTGAAATCCACAAATGACGAGAAACTGTTACACTGCCAGAGACAAAAGAGGCCGCCAAAAATTCCGTAAACGATACGAAATGCATTGAATTCGGAATACTAGCTTGTATGTCACACGGACCATATGACATATGAATTTATGATTGTGTGCCAGAATTTCCGAAACAATCTGATAAAAGAATCAATCATTTTTTTTGCGATCACAACAAACACAATCTCCCTTCCGTAATGGAATCACAATGAAATATACAAATACATTTTGAAAAGTTTGCTTTTCGAACCAGTTTTATTAAGGTGGGGTCAAAAAATGACGGATAAGCAGGCATGCATTTATTAAAAAAATGCAGGAAAAATTAAAATTGAAAGTTAAACCGATGAAATAAAGCATCACTTCCCAGTGATAACCAGATGTACAATGATATCAGTTAACATAAGGAAGAACGTATATACTTCATACAGTAAAAACGACTGAAATTCTGTTCCGTGATTTGAAACCAATTGTATTACCTATTATTTTTGTTTTTGAGCAATGTATTCAAAATTCAATTCAATTATCGTCAGATTTTTCGCGTCAAACTTCGGATTTACTGAAATTTCAAAAGCTAACAAAATTTAATAAAAACGGAGACACAATAATGAATCTTACCTTGGACTGCTGATATTATATACAAATGAACCATTAAAATAATGAAAAAAGGGCAAGAGCTAAAAAAACAAAACAAAAAGAAAAAGCGCAATAAGATATGAAACACCACGAAAACTGGACAAAAAAAATATGTCCTGGAATGATAATATAATAGTAATATGCTTCCGTTGATGAAGTTGCTTAACAAGAATAAGCTAAATTTTGAATTTAGATCAACTGTATTATCCGAAGAAAATGATGTGAAATTCTGGACAGGTAGAAAAAAGAGTAAATAATATTCAAAAAAATCCAGTGCTTAATTAAACTGGCCAGAAGGTACATAGCAAGATTTATTGGAAAATGAAACTTCAAATCAGGAGCATTCATGATTCTCAGGTGTCCGATTTGTTTTTGGTCCAACTGGTGGTGGATGCAAGCTTTTTTTATTATTCAGTACAAGCGATGAGCTATAACGTTTTGTACTTTGTGCGCCATCAAATGTTACATAAGCTCCTTCCTTTAAGCCTGAAACATACACTTTTTAAGGAAAATAATTGCGCAATAATTTGAGCAACACCATAACAAATGTTCCCCACGTAGTCCAATTAAATACTGAGATAAAATATTGGCCTTAAAAATGAATTAAATGACAAAGGCCAAGCAGTTAATGAAACTGAAACATTAAATATATGCAAAACGTGGCACCATTCAGCAAAACGCAAAAGACCATTTTTTTTTAGCTAGCAATGGCATTAACAAATTAACAAATGGAGACTTACCATTCATAATTCTTTCGAAATCGCCATCATCGATTTGACTGGAATCCAATTTCGGTTTTCTTGTCTTCATACCAAGTTCGCAATTAGGATCAGTCATCACGATCCTCTGTACTAGCTCATCGATTACATTTTCGGTCAGCTCATCTTTTGTTACTCGACGTCTTACACCAATCCGTTGCCGCTTCATCTGCTCTCCTTGAGAACGCTAAAACAATTATGTTGAATATTCAAAACAACAAGAATTCAAAAATCAACGAATCAACTAGCAGAATTAATTATGATAAAGGAAGCATAATTACATCTCATCGCTTAACTCTGTGACTATGTATATCTTATTCCAACCTCTGTTGCAACACGGCGAGCCACATTTTCAGCAACTGCTTGCTGGAATCGTTTTGCAAATGTCAATAGTCGAGAAAAAAATACATGTGGTTGTTGATTTCGTGAAGAATCGCCATAAAATTCTACGCATGATGTGAAAGCTTCCTAAAATTGAATGTACAATCAACAGACAACCAACATCGAAGTACACACATTTGCAATACATTTCAATTACTTCTTATCATTTTTTACACACACTCATTTTAAGCTAATTGAATGTTTTTTCTAAAGGTTACAGTTACGACCTACTAAGACACAAACTAAGAAAAAAAACGACTGAAAATACCAAAAAGGTGAAAGATGCAGAGAAATTCAAATGAAACTTTGAACTTACAGAAGCTGTTTTGCATTGTACTTGTAAAACTGAAATTCGCTTTTCGCATTTTTCCAAAAAATCGAGCAGTGATGGAGGACAATCTCCGCCTTTTAATTCTCGTTCCTTCTTAGCTGAAGCAAAGTTTGCTTCTAATTCTTTCATATCGGCCAAAACTGCTTCCCACATTACTGAAAAACAAAACAAATCGTCATACTACGATTAAAGAAAATCTTGACAAATTGAAAGATATATTAGAGGAGAATCGACATATGCATCTGCAGCGTTCATCTTCCCATTGAATTTGAATTTTTTTCCCATTGAATTTTTACTAGAAAAGTTTCTCATTGAATTTGAATTACTAGAAAAGAAAATAAATTACTTACTAGTGCTGGCTTTATCGGCAAATTTCAACTGATCTGCGAAATCCAATAGTTCCGGAAAATTTCGTGAAACTGTTTCCGCAATAACATGAAGTAATGAAAGCGATCGTTCCACAGAGCTTTTTAAGCCATAAAGCTAAAAATAAAGATGAAAATAACAAATCGCCATCAAAATACAGTTAGGGCAGCTTTTTCAAAGACAGTTTTTTTAATCAAACAGAAAAGCTATACTACTTATAAGTCAAAAAATTGTTATCCCTGTAATAATAACTAATAATTTTTTTGATTTATTTTAAAATACAAACAAGAGAATACTGCGTTCTCCCCTCCCCTTCCCTCCCCCCCCCCCAAAAAAAAAAAAAAAAACCAAACGAACCGTATCCAAACTAGATAACTTGAAACCATAGACACCTCCTTTTCGTCCACTATTCATATAATTTCCATATGCAAGCAGTATTTCCAAAAGCCGATGGAATTTTGTTGCTTCACGGACACATTTCGAAGCCGCCGTTAAATTGACAAATTGCTGCAAAAATAAACGTCATTGAATAACAAAACTTCCAGAAGTATTATAAAACTCTAGCAATAATAGTAATAACTTGGTAGTTTGACAATAATTAATGATGGTAATTATTATTACCATTATTACTATTAATAATAAAAGTAGTAACAATCAATAATCAAATAATAGATGATTAGTAATAATTAGCGACAATAATTGACAATCAATAACAATGATGATAACATTAATAGTAATAATAATAATAAGAATAATAATAATAATAATTAATAATAATAATAATAATAATAATTAATAATAATAATTTAATAATAATTTAATAATAATAACAATAATAATAATAATAATAATAATAATAATAATAATAATAATAATAATAATAATAA